TGCTACCAAACTTTCCATCTTTGTTAGGATGACTGGAACTTGTATCACTTATCTGGAAGGCAGCCTGGTTTTGTCTATCAAAATGTAAAACGTGGGTGGGCACGATGGCCCACGCCTGTAATCCCCGCACTTTGGGAGGCCGAGGCGGGTGGATCACCTAAGGTCAGGAGCTGGAGACCAGCCTGGCCAGCACAGTGAAACCTCATCTCTACTAAAAATACAAAAATTAGCCGGGCGTGGTGGCTCGCGCCTGTAATCCCAGCTACATGGGAGACTGAGACAGGAGAATCGCTTGAACCCGGGAGGCGAGGTTGTAGTGGGCGGAGATTGCGTCACTGCACTCCAGCCTGGGCGACAAGAGCAAAACTCCATCTCAAAAGAAAAAAAAAAAAAAGAATGTTCTTTAACCCAGCAATTTTACTTCTAGAAGCTAAACCTACAGATCTACACTACATGTAAGCCAGAATCGGATACAAAGAGACATATTTCAACTTGAAACCTCGTCTCCACTAAAAATACAAAAAATCAGCTGGGCGTGGTGGCAGGCGCCTGTAGTCCCAGCTACTGGGGAGGCTGAGCCAGAAGAATGGTGTGAACCCGGGAGGCGGAGCTTACAGTCAGCCGAGATCAGGTCACTGCACTCCAGCCTGGGCGACAGAGCGGGACTCCATCTCAAAAAAAAAAAAAAAAAAAAGGAATAGCAAAGGCTTGGAAATAACGTATATACTCGTTGAAAAGTGAGGAGGTAAATCATGCTACATCTAAGCAACAGAATACTACACAGCCTTTCAAAAGTACTAGGCTCATCTAAAGCATCTGATAATAGAAATAACAGCTGGGAAGCTAAAGTCAAACAAATAGATATTATGAAGTTTAAAAAATCAATATATTAGATGAGTAATATCCTTTGGAAAAGGATATTTAGGTGTGTGTGTCTGAAAAGATACACAAGAAATAACTAGGTTTCTCAACACTGTAACCTGAATGATACACATCATCCTGCTCTTTACCTGTACCTAGTTGACTGCTTGAGTCTGCTGCTAATCATTCTCATTTATAATTTATTTTAATAGTTTTTATGTAACTCCCACTCATTTATTTTCTTTTCAAGACTCTTCTTATTTTTGAATGGTACTCTTCCAAATGAATATTTAAATTATTTTATCAAATTCCTAAAAGTATTCTGTTGGACATTTGATTAGAATTATACTGGATAGGCCGGGTGTGGTGGTTCACACCTGTAATCCCAGCAGTTTGGGAGGCCAAGGAGGGAGGATTGCTTGAGCCCAGGAGTTTGAGACTAATCTGGGCAACATAGCAAGACCCCTCTCTACAAAACTTTTTTTAAAAATTAGCTGGGCATGGTGGTGTGCACCTGTAGTCCCAGCTACTTAGGAGGCTGAGGCAGGAGGATAGCTTGAGCATAGGAGGTCGAGGCTGCAGTGAGCTGTGACTGCACTACTGCACTCCAGCCTGGGTAATAGAGCAAGACCCTGTCTCAAAAAAAAACCAACAACAGAAAAACCAAAAGAATTATACCTGATATATAACTTACTTTTAAAAGATAATTATACATTGTTTCAACCTCGGTATTTAAAAGTATATTTCTTTTTTATTTCAAACATTGTTATTTGTCATAAGTCTGTCATGATTCTAAAATTTTTTTTAGAGATGGGATCTTGCTGTGTTGCCCAGGCTAGCATGCAGTGGCTATTCATAGGCACAATCATAGTCCACTACAAATTATATCATTTTTAAAGTACGTCTTATAACTTTTGTTTATATTTGACTTTATTTATTTATTTATTTATTTATTTTAAATAAATATGGGGTTTTACTATGTTGCCCAGGCTGGTCTTGAATTCCTGGGCTCAAACAACCCTCCTGTCTCAGCCTTCTAAAGTGCGAGGATTACAGGTATGAGCCACCATGCCCAGCCAGTTTTATAAATTTATTTTAGTGTTTATTTTTAGCTACTTAAATTTTTGCGGCTACTGTAAGTGGGACGGATTCTTTTTATATTGTATTTTCAAATTGGTTATGATAATACATGAGAAAGTTCTTTTCGTATGTTTTTATTATATTATTATTATTGTTATTGTTATTTTTGAGGCAGGATCTCACTCTGTTGCCCAGGCTGTAGTGCAGTGGTGTGATCATGGCTCACTTCAGCCCCAACATCCTGGCCTCAAGCAATGTTCCCACCTCAGCCTCCAGAGTACCTGGGACTACAGGTGCATCCCACCATGCTTGGCTAATTTTTTTATTGTTTATAGAGAAAGGGTTTCACCATGTTGCCCAGACTGGTATTGAACTCCTGGGCTCAAGTGATCTGTCCACTTCGGCCTCCTAGAGTGTTGGAATTACAGGCATAAGCCACTGTGCCCCACTCCCTGTATGCTAATTTTATAACTAGTTATCTTAATTCATCTTTTGTTGCCTCAGAGTTTTTCAGTTCATGCTTTGGAGCTTTCATATTATTTGCAAACAAATGACAATCCTGACTTATTTACAGTACTTAATTTCTTATTTCTATTTTATATCTAATTGCATTGGCTATCATTTCTATTGTTACAATGTGATAGTGAACATTCTTGCCTGTACTTGACTTCAATAGGAATAATTACAATGTTATGTTATAAAGGAAGTTGCTGGCTTTAGTATACCACATATATATTTAAATTATTCCAAAATCTAATTTTTATTGGGAATGATGCTGGACTTTACAAAATCCTTTTCAGCATCAACTGAGATCCTCATAATGTTTTCCTCCTTTGACTTATTAATATAATCAAGCATATGAGAAAATTTTCTATTCTTGGACTATTGCCATACTATATACATGAAATAATTTCTCTTAATTTTGGTATATCATTTGTAATGTAGTGTTGGGTTCCATTTGTTAGTAGTGACTTACATTATATCCAAAAGGAATTTAACCTGTAGATTTCCCTTGTGTGTACTTTTTATCAGATTGTATTTTAAAACCAGTCTTTCAGCTCATCCAAAACAGAGGGATTACTGGTGAAAATGCCTTGAGGGCAACCACCTGAAATGGCCTTAATGCAAATAAATAAATAAATGAGAAGAGAAAGAAAAGGAAAAAAGCTAACAACACTGTGGTTTGTCTACTTTGTGGAAATTTACAACACTATACTTGCTATACCTTCTTTCTGATGTGAATTCACAATCTATTGCAGCCATTAATTAAGGATATTGCTTTTCTTTCCAATAAATACATGAGCTTTCTTTCAGAGGCAAACAGAGGCAGATGTTTCATGAAAGTTTCTGTTCTTCCCAACCTGCCTTTCCCACCTCCCTAAGAGATGAACCAGAACATTTAAAAATGGGGGAAGAATTCATTCACTTGTGTCTGCAGTCCAGGGAGCCTGGCCTGTTATTTACTTTCACCACTCATCCCTGCTGCTGCTCCTTAGTTTTTGTTGTTTCCCTCAACTGACTTTCCTCATCTTTGCTGCATTCATCAAAGCCCAGGGTAAATTCCCCTCTTCCATAAACTGAGGAATCTAGCCCATTTTACATAGCGGACTTTCTCTTACCTGCTACCTATTCAAAGTTTGACTGCACATTTTAGCTATTATTATTCTCAAATTGTTTCAAGAGTGCTAGTTTTCTTTCTTAGGCCCCAGGTTAGCTCCTTGGGAGCAGGGACTTAATCTTAAAATTCTGCTGTGCATTTTCCGTTGTGTTTAGCCCTGTGAGTAATCACATTCAATGCATACTTGCGAGGCATATTTGACTGAAGATATCTATCATAGTTATTCATTTAGTAAATGATATAATGAAAACGCAAGTGCTCGCCAAAGATAAATCATTACTATTAATTCCCTCATTTATCATACATGTATGGCAGCCTCAGGGGCTAGGGAACGTAGGATTGCTGCTTTGACTTTCTTGGGGAAGCCAAATAAGCCTCAGATCCCTCCACTTTGGAGCCAGGCATGAAATTCAGATTTACCTAGTGCTCAACATTAACGGTCTCAGACTAAATTTATCTTCAGGTACCCTTTCCAGACTGGACCAGTTTACTTTATACCTCTGAGAATAAACCAAAACTTTCAAAACTCAAATCACAGGATATTATTTGTTCATGAATTCAGCAAGACTCTCTTGTTTAACTATTGAAACTCAAATATTTCGGCTTGCAGCAAGGAGGGGTATAGCTGTCTGGATATACCTTGGCCAAGTTTTAGTGTATACAAAAAAGCTGGAAGTTATCGACTATGTTAAACCTTTTCCTTAAATTTTCAAACTTCGGGATTATTTTAGTCTCACAGAGAAAATAACAAGGCAAGTATTTACAAACTTTTTTCAAAAATATGAGAATTTGAGTTTTCCCTAGGGCATTTGGCGTTGTGCTGTCACCACACCTTTGAAGATCGCTTTACAACCGTGGGAAAACTCACCGGGTTTTTTTCGTTGACCCCGCCATTTCTAAGTTGCTGTATTGCTGCAGGGAGCTGGCAAAGCCACGCTCTTCCTCTCCCCCATTCTCCTCATCCTTTCAAAGTCCAAAGCTCCCGGTGAGAATATAGAAACAAGGCTGCGAGGCAGCGAAGGGTAAGGGAGGAGCCAGCACTTATGCATTTTTCACTCTCCTCCTCACTCCCTAGGGTCATGAAGTTCTGTTTCTGAAGTTAGAAGTGTGGGGGCCGTCGGCTGCATTTTCAACTTGGCCTAAAAGTTGGAGTTCACACTACAGGCGCTAGGAACTTTGTCGCTTGGTCACCAACCTGAGCCTCCGGCTAGTCCGAAGAACGCGAAAAGCCAGGCCCAAGGCACCGGTTGTCATGGCAACCGGGGCGCTGGTCTCCCCGGCGACCTCGTCCCTAGGGAGGAGGCGGAGCTGGAGGCCAGGCGAGCCAATGAGGTCGAGGGGAGTTCGGGGTCGGACATCTGCGGTCCTCCCAGAGCCGGGGAATGGTTGAGTGACAGGACCGGGGGGGCGGAGCCGGCGCGGCTGCCCGAGGTGGAGCCCGAGTAGTGCGAGTAGCTCCGGCGGCCGCGCTGAGGCGAGGGTGACACACCATGCTCACGGTCCCTAGAGACCGTCGTGCTGGCGAGCCGCGCTCCGTAGCTCCCCGGTCCGCCTCGGCAGCGGTCAGAGTCGCCTACAGGAGTTGAGCTGCCCGCGCCGGAAGGTTCTGGCGAAGCTCTTGGAGGGGCGTCGAGCACAGTAGGGCGGCGGGGGTGCGTTGAGCGCTCGGGGGTCCGGCAGTCGGCTGGGATCGCCGCTGGAGGGGCGTTTCCGAGGCAAGGAGGAGGAGGAGGAGATGCTGCTCCTCTTCTCCCCCTCCCCAGGCTCCTTCTCCAGCTCCTTCAGCCCACGCCCGCAGCCGCTTGTGGGAGAAGAGGTGGTGGCTCTCGGCGCCCGCGGCGGCTGCCGGCGGCCCGCCCCGACGCCGCGTCCCCGCAGCCCTAGCCCGGCGCTCCAGTAGCAGGACCTGGTCTCGGGACCAGCCGGTAAGGAAGAGAGCCGCCCTGGGCTCTGCGCTGCATGTGCAGAAGTGCAAAACAAAGTACATTGCGCTAGCTCTCTTCCTCCTGTCTCTGCTTTTGCTCCAGTCCCTAAACCCAACTCCTCTGTTGCCCTGGTAGAAGGAACTTTTCTTTGGTTGTGGTGGTGGGGTGTTTTTGTACGTTAGAGTGGGGGTGGGGTGACTGGAGTGGGGGAGAATGAGATGAAACTCCATTGCGGAGTAGGTAGATCCATCTCCTCAGCGGAAGAAAGCCGGATCTCGGGAACGAAACCCACAGGGGGAGTACGAGATTGTGGGGTAACAGGGAGTGACATTGCCCCGTCGTGCTTGCACAGCTCCGCTCTGTGCGTGCTTAAGGGAAGGGCTCCCGGAGTCTGTTTCTAATTTCTGCAAATGATTGTGGAGATGGTGTGGTTAGAGGCCGCCCAGAAGAATGTGTATGTGTAAGGGCTCGAGAAGGGGGTGGGATGGCGGGGAAGCAGAGGAAGAGGGGGCAGAGAGAGAGAGAGAGAGAGAGACACTGTCTGATGCAAGCTCTTTTATTGCTTTTCTTCTGCTCGCTAAAATTAACACTCTACCCTCCGGCCCCCTAGCCCCGCCGCTTTGCTCATTACGTGATACTGTAAGAGCAGACAGCTGGGAAGCTAAAGTTAAACCAAAGTCATGAAAATTCTTAAAAAGTTTAATTTCCTTGTGTTGTGAATATAATGGAGAGAGGAAGATGGGGAGAAATATCACTAAGAGATTTACAGCAATACAGTTTTCATTGGCCATACACGTATATGATCGACACCACCGCACACTTCCAACTAATCTATTCGACAGCCTTGTGTCATTTTCATTTAATTGCATCTTTGAAACAACAAACGCGGTGACTTCATAGGGAGCTGCCTGGAGCTGAGCTCCCTCTCAGAAAATGGGGCAATCGGGTTTGTTTTCAAGGCAGGACCTGAACAAAATGTAGGACACCTGATCTGTGGGATGAAGGGCGCTGGTAACTAATTATAAATTTTAAGATTTTAAAATTTATATCTAGAAAGTTTACTAAAGGATGGGGGAAAAAAAGTAAAAGTGGATGTATTATGAAACAAGCTTTGGTATTTTCCCAAAGTCTTGATGACTGTGTTGGCAGCGTCCAGGTGAAAACTTGCTTCATGCTCATTGGCTGCTTGTAATGGTGCCAAGATACAAATTATTTCTAGTTTTAATATCACTAGGAGCATTTTTTAGTAAATTCATACATACATTGATTTAGTAAATTTATACAGAGGCTCATTGATGTCCAATCTTGTTTATTATACTTTGTTCATAACATTGTGTTCTACTTGATGTTCTAGAGGCTTTGTGGGAGTATGTGTGGGGAGAGGATAGGATGGAAATTAGAACTAAAAATAGAAAAATATTTGAGGTTAGTTGTTAAGAAAAGGTCTGATTTCATAGTGTTTTTCACTTTTACAATTAGAGAATTATAGCTTGCTTTACCATTATGTAGGTTTATCTTTGAATTTACATTTGTCTCACCATTTTTACTTGCATGTTAAGCCTACTTATATTTTTAAGGGTGATTACCAGCATCCAAAAATATAAATGGTTTTTCATGTCACAAGTTACATACACGCACACCATTAAAACCAGTGTCAATTTAAAAGTCAGATTTTAATACTATGATAGGGGTCACGTTATAAAACTTAAATTATCTTTTTGTTGTTGTTTTTGAGGGCTGCCTCCTAAATACAGTATGTGAATGTGGGAATTAGCTAATCATTTGTTTTGGAGTAGAAGATGGTAGGTGATCATCTTTGAATGAATGAAATTTATGTATTCTTCGTTATTGAGAAAAACAGGTGTTGATTTGTTCTGTCTTTAATATGTTAAGGGTTGGATGGAGAAGTGTTGTAGCTTCTCCCATGTCAATTGAGTGTATGTTTTTCCAGCTCATCTTAGTGCCCAGCCCCAAATGTACTGGAGAGAAGGACTATAAGGGATAAACTATGACTTCTTTCTTTTTCCTCTTCACCCTCTTCTTTTGACAGAGGGTGTAATTTTTAAATAAACCCCAAAACATTTTTATGTATAATTAAATTATAATTAACACCATTTGAAATGGAAAAGACACACAACCATACTCCAAGCCAGTGCATTTAGTAGTTACTCCTGTCAACATATACTTGTTTTGGAATATGCTTTGAGAGAACTCTGTGTGGTTCAAAGTGTTCTCCCATTGGCCTCTGATGCAACCAAGTATGACTCATTTGAGTATCACTTTACAAGGTAGGGGCCTGAAAAAGGAGAATAGATAATGGGTCTCAGGATAGAAGAATCAGTGCTGATGGGAATGATAAGAATTTTTTGGTCTGGACTTCCTTTTTTTTTTTTTAATCCCTGAAAAACTCTCTTTTAATTTGAAAATTAAAATGAGTCAAACAACTCAGGAACTAAACTTTTTAGAGATAGCTTTTAAGATAGGGTCTCTCTCTGTTGCTCAGTTTGGAATCATGGCTCACTGCTGCCTCAGCTTCCCAGGCTCAAGCAATCCTCCTAACTCAGCCCCCAAAGTAGCTGGTACCACAGGTGTACACCACCACACCCAGCTAATTTTATTTTATTTGTTTTAAATAGAGACAAGGTCTCGCTGTGTTGACCAAGGCTAAAAGATAGCTTTTAATGAGTACATTAATGTAGGACTTTTGACGGCTTAAGTTAAAGTTGAAAGTTTCTTTTTTGTTTGTTTGTTTGAGATGGAGTCTGGCTCTGTCACCCAGGCTGGAGTGCAGTGGAGCAATCCCGGCTCACTGCAAGCTCCGCCTCCCGGGTTCACGTCATTCTCCTGCCTCAGCCTCCCGAGTAGCTGGGACTACAGGCGCCCGCCACCACGCCCGGCTAATTTTTTGTATTTTTAGTAGAGACGGGGTTTCACCGTGTTAGCCAGGATGGTCTCGATCTCCTGACCTCGTGATCCACCCACCTCAGCCTCCCAAAGTGCTGGGATTACAGGTGTGAGCCACCGTGCTCAATCAAAAGTTTCATACTAGCTGTAAATGTCCCATCAAAACTCCGTCTGTAAACTGCTTTGGGAGATGGAATTCTAATAATCCTTTGAGTTTGGGGAGAAAACGAAAACATCTTTAAGACCATTATTCTTGTTTAGTGTCAGGCACTGTGACTAAGCACCCTGCTCTATCCTGCCCAACCCTGTTCCCAACAATGTGTGACTGTCACTAGTAGTAAGGCAGTAGGTGGGCCATTGGTTAATTTCTCAGGATAAAAAGATAGCAATTCCTACATAATCTTGTATAGAGTTAAACCATAAACTTCACATGTTTTTTTCCAGATAAACTTCACATGTTTTTTCCAAATGCATAGGAAATACAGGAATAGAGTCTGGTTTAAGTGCTTGTTTAGATGTGTTTGCCTTATCCTGTGCTCTGCCATTGAATCCTGCTTTTTAAATTTTTGTTTTGTTTTGATTTGTTTTCACACTGGAAAAGTATGAAAATTCTCTGAAACAAACTGTCTCAAAGAAAATCCTTCTGCCATAGTATAAAGAGTGTGGAGGACTCTGCTGTCTGACAAATATGTGTCCAAATCCTAGAGACTATTAAAGTTTATTTTTAATAATTTAATAATATATACCTCTCAAGTCTTTTTTATTTTGGTGTGTGTGTGTGTGTTTTCTTTTTTTTTTGAGATGGAATCTCACTCTGTCGCGCAGGCTGGAGTGCAGTGGCGCAATCTCAGCTCAGTGCAATCTCTGCCCCCAATCCTGGGTTCAAGCAATTCTCCTGCCTCAGCCTCCCTAGTAAGCTGGGATTACAGGCATGCGCTACCATGCTTGGCTAATTTCTGTACTTTTAGTAGAGACGGGGTTTTGCCATGTTGGCCAGGCTGGTCTTGAACTCCTGACCTCAAGTGATCCGCCCACCTTAGCCTCTCAAAGTGCAAGGATTACAGGTGTGAGCCACCATGCCTGGTCCCTCTCAAGGGTATTTTGAGGGTGAAATTAATATATGCAAACGTGGTTTAAGTGCAAGCTCACACTGAATATTTAGGTTGCTTGCTTCCTTGCAAATTTTCTTTAAAAAAATAAAATTAAATAATCACAAACACGTATGACTACTCAAATCATTCTTGAATGTGTAACTTGAATCTGGCTGGGCAAAAGGCCCTCTTTACCTACTAACCAATAAATGTCTTTGGTTGCATACTTCATCTGTGCTTAATAAACAGTTTCTTTCTTTCTTTTTCTTTTTTCTTTTTTTCTAGTTTAGTACTATTCAACTCTGCCTGTACCTTAGAATCACCTGGGTAGCTTTTTTAAGTTTGTTAAATTTTTTTTAAGAGACAGGATCTCACTCTGTCAACCAGGCTGGAATACAGTGGTGTGATCATACCTCACTGCAACCTTAAATTGCTGGGCTCAAGTGATCCCTCTGCCTCAGCATCCTGAATAACTGATACTACAGGCATGCGCTACTCAGCTAATTTTTTATTTTTTGTAGAGATAATGGTCTTCCTATGTTGCCCAGCCTTGTCTCAAACTCCCTGGCTTGAAGCAGTTCTCCCTCCTTGGCCTCCCAAAGCACAGGGATTCCAGGTGTGAGTCACTGCCCCAGGTCTGGATAGCTTTTAATAATCTCCATGCCCTGGCCTCAACTCAGACTAATTAAACCAGAATCTTTGCAGACGAGAGACCCTGGCATCCATATTTTTAGAAACTCCTTAAGAAACTATAGTCAACTTTGGAACCAATATAAGACTCTACTAGAATTTAGTGTAGAAAATTTGGTTCCCACAAATGCAGCAACATTTTTTGTGTTGGATTGTATTTTATATTTATGTATTTCTTCTATATAAATCTTAAGAATTTAAAACACAAAAATGTCTCAGAAGCATGTATATATATGCCTGTCTACAGGACTTTTTACTATTTGGATGAGAATTTAAGGTACAAATATTTCCCTAGAGCTATACTGTCAAATGTAG